GATAGATGGTTTTCAGATATAACTCCAGACGTTCAAATTTTAATATTGATAAATGCAGCTTTAATAAACTGATACAACATTGACTATAAACAGTTCTTAAGAGTCCTCGAATTTCTATGAATTTTCAGCCCTTTTGCTATGATGTAAATCTATTCCAGCTGTCTTACAGATGCTTACAGGTCCCTGGCAAAAGTTCTACCACTGCATCCAAAAATCTGTTCTGATAAAAACAATCTCCAGAGCCCATTTTGACCTCATCCATTTTTGAGAATATTTTGCAGTTTCCTTCCTCCTGCTTGGGTCAAGGGGCTCTCCAGATATGTCAGTCCCTGCACCAGCTGGCACAAGCTCTGGGGATGCCAACCCCCAACTGAGGATGCCAACTGGGATGGATGCACCCCAATATCCATGGGATAGCAGATGGGATGGCTCCTACAATCCTGAAGAACACATCCTGCGGTGATATGTTGTGTCCCCCAATATATTTTGCACCCTAATAAACTTATCTGGGGTCAGAGGACAGAACAGCCACTAGACAGACATAGAGGCCAGAAAATAGTGGCACACACGCCTTTAATCCTAGCATTCTGGAGGCAGAGATCCATCCGGATCTCTGTGAGTTCAAAGCCACACTGGAAACAGCCAGGCATGGTGACTCACGCCTTTAATCCTAGGAATTGATGGCAGAAAGCAGAAAGGTATATAAGGTGTGAGGACCAGGAACTAGCCTGGTTAAGCTTTTAGGCTTTTGAGCAACAGTTCAGCTGAGATCCATCTGGATGTGGACTCAGGCTTCCAGTCTGAGGAAACAGGATTGGCTGTGGCTGGTTCTGTCTCTCTGATCTCTCAGTGTTCACCCCAATACTTGGCCCCTGGGTTTGTTTATATAATAAGACTTTTTAAGATTCATGCTACAGGGCTGGGGAGATGGCTCAGCGGTTAAGAGCACTGACTGCTCTTCCAGAGGTCCTGAGTTCAATTCCCAGCAACCACATAGTGGTTCACAACCATCTGTAATGAGATCTGGTGCCCTCTTCTGGCCTGTAGCCATATATGCAGACAGAACACTGTATACATAATAAATAAATAAATCTTTTTTTAAAAAAAAAGATTCATGCTACAACATCCCTCAGTTCACTGCTGGTACCACCTCTCCAGGCTCAGGAGGGCATCTGCCTAACAACTGGTCCTGGCTTTCCAAGTTGTCCCAATGAAGGACATACCTGCTCTCATGTCTTATTCATTCATGATAACAAACTATTTTTTTTCCTCCTAGTAACCTGCCCTCTCAGCACATTCAAAGGAACAGATGCCTGAGATCTCTACGATGACAGCTAATTGGATGCTTCTTCAGTCACACCTCCTGCCATGAGTAACTCCAGGGTTCCTTCTGCCCCACTTTGCCCCTTTCCAGCTTGAAGTAGTCTCAAGAATTCAGTGCCCTTGTTCTCCTACTTGCTCTCATAACTCACCTCTTTTTATAATAATCAAAACGGAGAAATGTTAATATGCTGATCCTGCCCCTTAGTGCCATCCTGTCCTGATGTAAAAGTCTCTGTTTAAGCAAAAACTCCCGCATTTCTCTCCTCTTCCGCTTCACTCCCACAAGGTATGCACCCCTCAACCCCCCTCTGTCTTTCCCCCTCTTTCTGTCTCTCTGCCTATTTATCTATCTATTATAATAAACTCTCCTTGTGGATTCATTGTACGGGTTGTGTATCACTGGCTGCTGCTGCCGCCATGCCCTGCATGGCATGTATCTGCCCAGCCCAAGGCTGCAGCTGCCCAGCAAGTTTCCCTGCATGCTCGAGATACCCTCGGGGTTCCCCCCCACCCCCGACCCCGTGTAATAATTCGTAACATAGGTCACTGTATGAACTGTGTAAGAAAATGTCCTTGTTTTTGACAATACACACAAAATTCCTAGTGGCAAAAGGAACAGTTGCCTTATAAGCCTCCTAAGAACTCAATTAAAGTGGTTCAGGAAAAAAAAAATATTCATGCGTGTGCACACACAAAGGAACAAATGAGTGAACCCACCATAGAGAGAATTGTGTAAGATGTGAGTAGTCTGTGAGTCTGATGGATAAATGACAATTCCTCAAACTATTCAGCAAGGGATTGTAATTTTTTTTTTAACTATAACTGCATGGCCAGGGCTCAAGCCTTTTGCTAGCTAGCTTTTATATCTTAAATCAGCCCATAACGATTAATCCATATATTGCCACATGTTCCATGGCTTTACCTGTGTCCCATTACATGTTGCTCCTTGGGCAGCTTGCTGGCGTCTCTGGTTTGTAAATTTTCATAGGTCAAAACAAATCCTTTAAAGGTTGATCACCAGGATATAGATGTACATGTACCAGGGTCTACATGTATATATGTTCAGTAAGTGTGTGCATTTACCAACTGCATTGGAGGTTATTCTATTTGTGAGAGTAAAAAAAAAATGACAATCTTTAACATTAAGTTTGAAATGTGATGATGCGTGGTTTCCTGCACTCTCAACACTTGGGAGCATGAGGCAGGAGGATGGCCAAGAGTTTGAGGATGGCTCAGTTTACATAATGAGTTCTAGGCCAGCTGGAGGCTCAGCCAAGATTTTTATTGAAAAACTACTACACAAAACAATCAAACAAAAAGACATTGTTTTAAAAAAAATTAGAAAAATGCTTGAAATAGCATCCTTTTATTTGTTTAGGGTTTTTTGGGGGGGCGGGAATGGGGTGGGGACAGGATTTCACTGTATTGCCTAGCCTGCCCTTGAACTGCTTTAAACCAACTGCTGGGATTGCAGGTAACTATCAAGACACACAGCTGGGACAGTCTGTTGATGTATATTATATATCCAGGCTGGCCTCAAACTCACGGACAATTCTCCTGCCTCAGTCTTTCAAATGCTGAGATTCAGGCTTGCAACACCCTGCCCTGTGTGATTATCTGCATATTCTGGAGTTAATTAACTGTCATGGTTTTCCATTGACTTATTTTTCGTTTAATTCCAAACCCTTTGACAATTGCTTAAACCGCCCTTCAAAAGTGTTGTGCCGACTGTGGGAAAGCAAATCCCAGGCTGTGGGAGTGAACGCTGGAGGGGCTGGAGTCACTTTCCACCCTATCATCAACTCAAGACCAGTTCTGCATGAGACCTCATCCAAGGAAAACAATAAACAAATAAATAAATGAGAGATTAAGGGCCGGAGATGTAGCTCAGTGGTTACTTGCCCAGCTCAGGCGACGGAAGGAAAGAGGGAAAGGAAGAAAGAAGAGGGAGGAAGCAAAGGAGGAGGAGGAGGAAAGGAAGGAAAAAAAAGAAGTGTCCAATCTAGGAGCCAGGAGAGAGCAGAGTGCAGTGAGTAAGATACTGCTTGCCTCATAAACGCGAGGTCTGCCAGCGAGCACCCAGCTCCAGTGAACGCCATCTGACACTTTGCAGAGGCGCTGGCTCTGTGCAAAAAGAATTGCCGCAATTTTCCAAGCGCAGCCGAGAGCATAATAACTTTATTGTGCCGCTTGTTTACTTCCTAATGGCAAGTTCATCCTCACTGGGCCCTCTTCAAGCCCTGGTGTCTAGACAGAGAAGAAAATTCCATCTAGAGACCTGGAACAGAGAGAGAAGGAACAATTTAACAGCTACCCCAGACCGGATGTGTCTGGGGACCATTGCCACTGGAAGAAAAGGATCTGTTTCCTTAGTCACCAAGCTCGTGTGTGTGTGTGTGTGTGTGTGTGTGTGTGTGTGTGTGTGTGTGTGTGTGTGTGTGTGTTTTCTCTCTCTCTCTCTCCTGCCCTCTTCTCTCTTCATCCATTATTATGTGGGTTCTAGGGATCAAACTCAGGTCTCCAGCTTGCCGCCCTGTCCCCCACCAGTAGAGTCTTTACTTCCACAGATGGGAATGACATTGAACACCTTTGTGTCACCTCTTCTCAAGGACTGGGATTACAGGTATGCACCACCACACCCAGTTTTATGACATTCTGGGAATCTAACCTAGGGCACTGTGTATACTAGGCAAGCACCCTACCCACAAGGCTACAACCCCAGCACTTTTTTTTTTTTTTAATTAACAGATTTTCAGGGCTGGGGATTTAGCTCAGTGGTAGAGTGCTTGCCGAGCAAGCACAAGGCCCTGGGTTTGGTCCTCAGCTCCAAAAAAAAAAAAAAAAAAAAAAAAAGAGAGATTTTCTATTCATTATACATACCAACCACAGATTCCCCCGTCCTCCCTCCTCCCACCCCCCAGTCCTCCTCCCAACCCTCCCCAGTTCCCACCTGCTCCAAGGCAAGGTCTCCCATGGGGAGTCAGCAGAGCCTGGTACACTCAGCTGAGGCAGGTCCAAGCCCCTCCTCCCTGCATCAAGACTGTGCAGTGTCCCACCATAGGCACTAGGCTCCAAAAAGCTGACTAGGGGCAGGTCCCGATCCCACTCCCTGGGGGCCCCCTAAACAGTTCAAGTTAAACAACTGTCTCGCTCATCCAGAGGGCCTGGCCCAGTATTGGTCACTCCTCAGCTGTTGGTCCCCAGTTCATATGTCTCCACTAGTTTGGCTGGTTGTCTGTACTTTTTCCAGTCATGGTGGCTTGCTCATAGAATCCCTCCTCTCTCTTGTTGATTGGACTCCTGGAGCTCTGCCTGGGACCCAGCCGTGGATTCCTGCATCTGCTTCCATTAGTCACTGGATAAGGGTTCTATGATGATAGTTAGGATATTCAGCCATCCCATCACCAGAGTAGGTCAGCTCAGGCACCCTCTCGACCATTGCCAGGAGTCTATGGTGGAGTCATCTTTATGGATTCCTGGGAACCTCCCTAGCACTCTGCTTCTCCCTACCCCAATGGTGTTTTCATTTATCATGGTATCTCTTTCCTTGTTCTCCCACTCTGTGCCCGTTCCAGCTCGAACCTCCCACTCCCCTAGGCTCTCATTCCCCCGTCCCTTGCCCTCCATTACCCCCCCTTTACCCCCAGTTTGCTCACGTAGACTCAGAAGGACAAATACAGTATGTACTCACTCAAAAGTGGATACTAGATGTAAAGCAAGGGATAACCAGACTGCAACCCACAGCTCCAGGGAGGCAAGCTAGTAAGAAGGACCCTAGGAAAGACGCAAGGATCGCCCAGTCCTTCTTTACCGTTAAGAACTGTAGATTCCCTGTGAATTCCATGGGCTCTGATTCATGAAGGGCCCCACGGGCTCATTTCCAGCTTAGCTCTGCTAGGACTGTTTGGCTTTCACTGGGTCCGCCTTAGTGGTTTGGTGTGGGGTTCTGGATTGTCTCCTCATGGCAACAGTACAAATGGGCACCTGCTGCCACTCCCAGAAGCAGCTTCATGACTCCTTTTCCATCTTTGGCCAAATTGATAGCCTGGTTCTACAAGCATAGCCACACACACAGCTGTGAGCTGTTCCCCTCGGGGCTTGCTTTGTAAGTGGAGTGGTTTTCCCCACTGAAGTCTGCTATACGGAAAAACCCCTCGGGCTCTTTATTCGCTTAGAATCCTTGAGAGCCACTGGACTTTAACGCACGTGCATTTCTCAGGCTTTGTGCTTCTCTTCAGTTATTGGAACTTCGGAGTTTTCTGGTGGAATCCGTAAAGAAAAGAGCCAAGAAAAGTATCTTTAGCTGGCAGATAAGCAGGCTTAAATTTTTAGGAACAAAAATAAATTCAATTTCATTGCCATGTTATACGTTCACGCACAAACACACACACACACACACACACACACACACACACACACACACACACGCCATTGCACACATGCAGAGGTCAAAGGACAACTTGCAGGAGTAGGTTCTCTCCTTCTACCAGATGGGTCCCAGGGACCAAACTCAGGTTGTTAGGCTTGGCGGCAAGCACCTTTACCTTTACCTGCTAAACTAGTAATTCTCAACCTTCCTAATGCTGAGACTCTTGAAAACAGTTCACATTGTGGTGATCCCAACCGTAAAGTTGCTACTTCATAACTGTAATTCTGCTGCTGTAATGAATTGTGATGTCAACATCTGACATTTCTGTTGGTCTGTGAAAGGGCCAGTTGACCTGGGAGTCGCAGGACCCACAGGTTGAGAACCAATATGCTAAATCATATCACAAGCCCACGGCTCAGGGTCATAAAGTGCTTGATACATTTGTTGTGCAAGAGTGAGGAGCTGAGTTCAGATCCCCCACACCCATGTAAGAGCCAGGCTCCCAGAGAAGCAGCTGTAACTCTAGCACCCAGAGAGGTGGCAATTAGATCCTTGGGGGCTTGCTGGCCAGCCAGACTAACTGAGAACAGCCAGCTCCAGATTCAGTGAGAGATTGTCTCCAAAAGGATGTGGAGAACAACCAGAGGAAGGATGGCTCAGCTTTGGAACTTCCCCTGCCCAAGGATCTACCATTGAGAGATGTGCAGACCGCTGGGGCAGCTGAGAGCTGTGGAAGCAGAACCCAAGTAAGGCTGACCCAGATAGAGAAACATATAGGGGCAGAAAAGGGCAGTAGAGTAAAGGAAGGCTGGCAACAGTTTAAGAGTTGGGTGGCTATGGGTGTAATCCTGCTGTGAAGGCTCTTTGTATGCAAATCAATGACGCCCAGGATTTCAGGCAAAGTGTTCTGCAATCTTCCAGCCCTACCTGGCAAGAATAGTTTACTGGGCACGACCACATCTCAGCACTGTGCTAAGGGTGCTGATTAACATCAACATTGTTCTTCCTATTGGAATTATTTATATGGATTTATACATCAATATGCATGCAACTTATGAATAAATACTATTGTCCTTAGCCAGCCAGAGTGGAGCACGCCTTTAATCACAGCACTTGAGAGGCAGAGGCAGATCTCTGAGAGTTTAGGGTAGCCTGGTCTGCACAGTGAGTTTCAGGGCAGCCAGAGCTACATAGTAAGACTCTCTCTCAAAAAAAACAAAACAAAAAACCCACAGAAAATTACTTCCCTTACTGCTGCTTCAAAGTCTGCAGAGGAAGGGTTTTCTGGAGAAAAGAACAAAGGCAGCACTTGGGAGAAGACGAAAAAATATTTACTTCATTGACTATGAAACAAAGAACAAAGGAACAAAAAAATCCCTTAACTGTGTAAGAAAGGTATGATTATGAATGTAGATAGACTAGCATATGTTGACTGGTTCTAGATCTTAGGGGAGGAACTCAGGGGTCTCATTAATAGTATGAGGTTATCTCCACGCTCTTTACAGCGGTTCTTCTTTCTCTAGCTTCACAGATGACTAGCTCACTGGCCTGTCTGTTTATTTAATATCTTTTGAGACAGGGCTCACCACAAAGCCCCGGCTGACACAGACTCCCTATGTAGACTAGGCTGGCCTTAAATGCACAGAGATCCATCCACCTGCCTCTGCTTCCTTTAACCCTAGCACTAAGGAGGCAGAGGCAAACAGATCTTTGTGAGTCCAAGGTCAAGCTTGGTCTATAGGGTGAGTTTTAGGTCAGCAAGGGCTGCATACTGAGATACTTAGATCCAAAGGTGTGTGTGTGGGGGGAACAGAGTTGGTGGCATACATCTCTAATTCCAGCACTTGAGAGCTTGGGAAAGAGAAGCAGGCAGATCTCTGTATGTTTAGAACCAGTTTGGTCTACATAGCGAGACTCTGTGTTTCAATAATAAATAAATAGATAAATAAATAAATAGATTATATTAACTTGTGTGACAAGTGTAAATAAATGATACTAACCACATATCCATATCTGGACAAGTTTCCACCATTACTGGTTTGTTTTTCATAAACGGGAGAGAAAATAGGATTTCCCTGTTCTTGTCTGAGTTGTAAGCACATCATCTCCTGAGACTATGTGAAACAGTAAACTGTGAAACCTATCAGCTGCGCACATCCCTGGGTATCAAAAGCCTCAAGTGTGGTTTCTTGACTTTCTACAATCTTTTTAAAAGATTTACTTACTTAATTTATGTGCACCACATGTGTGCAGTACCCTCAGAGGCCAGAAGAGGGTGATGGATCCCCTGGAACTGGGGCTGGTCAGCCTTAATCACTAAGCTGTTTCTCCAGCCCCATTTTCTCCAGCTGTAGACAAAGGAGAATTTCCTACCTCCATCCAGATAGTTCTGTTTTATTAGTTTTATGTGTATACCTATCACATAAATTTTTATTTAAAGATTTGTTTTTATTTCTGTGTATACTGGGAACCTAACTCAGGTCCTCTGGAAAAATAGCAAGAGCTCTTAACTACTGAGGCATGTCTCCAGCACCATAAGATGCTGTTTAAAGAAATGATGACATTGTTTGCTCTTTTAAAGTGACTTATAAGGGGCTGGAGAAATGACTCAGAGGTTAAGAACATTTGCTGTTCTTGCGGAGGACCCAAGTTATGTTCCCAGCACTCACATGGTGTCTCATAACTACCCATAAATCCAGGGGATCTGATGTCCACTTTTGAGGGCACATGGCACATACATGGTACATATGCATACATGCAAGCAAAACACTCATGCAAATAAAATATACATCCAGGTTTTTTTTAATTTAAAAAATTTTTAAATGACTTATCAATTTTATCTGGATAATCTCTGGTTCCCTAGAATTAAGTAATCTAATACATTTTAGTTTGGTTGACTGTGAAAGAGTACTAGATGTATATAAAAACAATCTCTGGCACAGAGATCCCCAGGGCTGTATCTTTGCCATGTGTCACCTGCTCGATAGCAGTAAGTGGAATTACCTGTTGATAAGTTCCAGTGATCTCTATCTACCTAAATTTGTCCAAAGATCCATAACACATAACTTTCTCTATTACTAATGATTTTTGTTATCAACATTACAAGTCTATGTAACTTGACATCTTCAAGGTTTTTTTGTTGTTTTTGAGACAGGATCTCAGTAAATAGCCCTGTGTAGCTGTGTGGTCGCTACATGAGTGTGTGGGTTCACGCGGATCCGTGGAATGAAGACACAGAGGCATCTTAGGAATGAATTTAGCCTATCATGGCTGCAGGGGTGTCCAGCCTCGAAGGACTGAAGCACTCTTCCCTTCACCTAGGGCATATTTATTTACTCTTTCTTACAGTTTAGATAGTTAATTTCCATACCTTCAAAAGCAACCCAAAAGGAGTTCCCAGAGATCAAATGCCAGGTGCAAATTACTTGAATTAACAGGTACCTCGGTTTTCCGGGTTTCCTGGACCAACTTTTGCATAGGCCTTTGATCCTTGGGGGACTCTCTGATCCTTGACTCTCAAATAAGATTCACATAGGGCGATAAGAGAAACAAAAGGTGTGGTTAAACAAAGGAAGGATTAGGGCTAGGTGCTGCTCTCTGGAGCCAAGCCAGGAGCTCAGCAGGAATGCCACTACAGCCCTGTCTGTCCTGGAACTCACAGAGACCCGCCGGCCTCTACCTCCATTTCTTGAGAGCTGGGGTTTTCCACACCTGGTAACATTTTCATAATAACAACAACAAAGAAAACTTACAAGAGGCCAGGCATGGTGGTCCGTGCCTTTACTACCAGCACTCAAGAAGGCAGAGGCAAGAGGGTCTCTGTGAGTTCAAGGCCAGACTGGTCTACATAGGTGAGTTCCAGGACACCAGCTAGGCCTACACAGACAGATCCTGTCTCAAAAGAGCCAAACCACGCTAACCAACCAAACAACAATAATAACAAAACTATAAGAGAAAAGAAAAAAGAAAGACAAAAGAAGACAAAACTGTAAGAGAACATGAAGGTTTGGGGCTGGGATGTATGCAGCTCAGTGGTAGAGAACTTTTGCCCAGAATGTATAAGTCCCTGTGTTTGATCCCCAATATCAAACTAAGAAGGAAGAAAAAAAAAAAAAGGAGGATTTTTACTGAGACATTTCCATGGTTCACAGCAAATGTTGCTTGGGTTCAAAGACATGAGTGCTGCTCCATAGAAGAAAGATGCATTTCCAGAAGAGCTTCAGTGCTCCGGAGTGTTATGTAACCATTCCTCTGGTTTATTGCAAGCTTCAAGGTGAGCATCTGGATTTTCCTGTTTATCAAGGAAGTGGGAATCATCATTATCATTATCACTGTGACTTGGATCACAGGTCCGGCGTTATCAGTTCCATCAAGAAGAGGGCTATTGAAACAGACAATTACTGCTAACCTCCCATGAACCAAGGCATGGGGTAATTACAAAACACTGTGGGCATATAGGTCAGTCTGTTCCCTTCTCCTTGGTGTACACACACGCTCTGAAGGTTTCGATGGTAAAGGAAAAGTACTCGGTACCCTTTTTAGTGGGCCGAGGAGACTACGGCTCCTGTCTTAGACCACAAACAAAGCTATTAGAATTCCTCATCTCAAACCCTGGCAGATTACACCTCCTCTACTATACGGTCACCCTTAATCTTGGTAACTTCCCCAGTGCTCACCCCGCGTGGCCCACAGTTACTCAGGCGTGTTTAATTGAATTGTCAGCAAACATTTGTGAAGTAAAATTCACCAGTAAAGTTCATTGGTTTTACTTTATTTGGGGGTGCAGAGGATTAAACCCACGGTCTTGTGTATGCCAGGCAAATGCTCTACCACCGAGCCGACACCACCACCCAGGCCTCTGTAAGTTAAACTGTTCGGGTGACAGGAATACATCAGGACCTGACAGCTTTTTTTGTGCACCTACTAGGTGAGGCAAACGTGAACCTGAGGCCTTGTACATGCCCCGCAAGTGTCCTACCACCAACCTACGTCTCCAGATCTGTTTTCTAACTTTTACTTTGAAATGGTCTTACTAAGTTGTCCCAGCTGTTCTGGAACTCACTCTGTCGCCCCCCGGGCAGACCTTGAACTTGCCATTTTCCTACCTCGGCCTCTTGAGTAGCTAGGATTACAAGCCTGTCCCACCAGGCCTTGGTCTGATAACTCCGTCGTCTTTTAGTGTCTCACAGGGATGGACTCCAGGTCCCCTTTGGAGACTGAACTCTGAGCATGTTCAAGTCTCTTATGTCAAACGATTTAATATTTGCATATAACATATACATATAACATGCTTTACATTATCCCCCAATTATTTATAATACCTTTACATTGTATCATCCTTAGGAAAGAATAGCGAGTCGCATTGCGGGTGGGGAGTCTATACTGTTTGGTATAGAAACAATGTTGTTTTGTTTTGTTTTGTTTAGAGAAGGAGGGGACAGGAGGGAAGAAAGGAGAAAGAGGAAGTCTTCCTCTTCTCTTCTCTGCAATTGGAGGGCTCAGCAAGAAGGCAGCTGCGCACAACTCAGGCCAGGGTCATCTTCGAACTTGGCCATGACCTCCTGATCTTGAATTCCAAGACTAAAGAACGGTGAGAAATGTATGAGTCTATGTTTAAGCCACTCAGTTAGGGAGGGCTGGAGAGATGCTCCAGCCATGCCTGAGTCCTGACTGCTCTCCTAGAGGCCCTGGGTTCAATTCCCAGCACTCAACTGTCTATGACTCTAGTTCCAGGGCATCTGACACCCTCACACAGACATACACGTAGGCAAAACACCAGTGCACATAAAATAAAAATAAATTATTTCAAAAAGAAAAGAAAAGTTACTCGGTTAGGACATTTTGTTAGTGTGGCCAAAACTGGCTGAGACAGCTATCATGGTAATTAAAACTCTGCTTACCTCACTGGAGTTATTTTGATGATAAGGCCTCCTAAACTGTGAAAGAGGAAAACTTTCAGTGACAGTTGATAACCAGCAGAGTGCCACACAAAGCATTGGTGGACCAGAGTTGTGAAAGTCCTTTGAAGGTCAGGATTCCAAAATCTGTAACCATATTGCCAAAGCAAGAGGCGCTCAGTTCAGAACAAAGCATTGCCTGTCAGGAAGATAATCATCAGGGATCCCGGATATTAGCACAGTGACTGCTCCCTTCATTTTAAACTTAAGTCTAATGCTTCAGACACAACCACCCTGATACTTAGAATCGTACTTAAAAAGCACTTTAGAAGAGCCTTTTAAAATAAACTTTCAGAATATACTTCATTAACTGTGGGGGAGAGGGAAGGAGGTTGAGAAATGTGTCCTATAGCCCAAGCTGTCTTTTAACTCACTACGTAGCTCCAGCTGATTACGTACTCCTGATGCTCCTGCCTCCACCTCTGCCTCGGGACTATTAGGATTGCAGTGTGTGTTGCCACATCCAGCTGTCTTATTAACTTTTAATAGTTTTTGGAGGCTGGAGAAATGACTGTTAAGAGAGTACTTGTTGCTCTTGCAGAGGACCCAGATTCACTATCCAGCAGCCCACGGGTGGTTAGATTATCTGTAACTCCAGTTCCACGGGATCTAACATCCTCTTCTGACCTCTGTGGGCACCAAGGGACACATGTGGTGTGCATATGCATTCCTACAAAACGTGCACACACACAAAATAAAAATAATAAAATCTTTTTAAAAAAATAAATGAAGTAGCTGTCTTTTCTTTTCTTTTCTTTGTTTTTGTTTTTGTTTTGTTTTGTTTGAGATAGGGTCTTGCTATGTAGCTCTGAAAACTCACTATGTAGACCAGGGTGGCCTCAAACTCATGGAGATCCACCTGCCTCTGCCTCCTGAGTGCTGGGATTAAAATCATGTGCCACTACACCCAGCTAAAAGAGCTTTCTAAGATACCAAAAAAAAAAAAAAAGCATTAACATAAAAATGCTACTACTAGGTCAGCTGTGCATACAGGCATGTTTAATCCCATCACTCAGGAGGAAGAGGGGGGGCAGAGCTCTGTGAGTTTGAGGCTGGTATGATCTACATAAAAAGTTCCAGGCTGAACCAGGAGAATCACACAATGGAAAAATCACAGCCTAGGCTACACAGGGAGGCTCTGTCTCAAACACAAACACGAAAGGCAGAAGTACATGCGAAAAAGGAACCGGGAAATAGTAAGAATTGCAAAGGAAAAGGCCAGAACTGAGTGAAAGAAGTCACCCTGTTCGTGGATTGGTGTGTATCAGACCTTAATGTAGAAAGCAGGACAAGATGGTCTGGATGACACTGAAAGCCTTGGATCCTTTATGAGGAGTTCGCCCACACTATAGGTAGGCCGGCTTACAGGAAACCTCAAGGGCTCTGGAGCAGAGCTCTGATGTTTCCTGCTTCTGACTGTCTTGTTCTAACCTAGTTACCACTGGAAACTAGTAATGGAATCCTGGCACCTCCCACAACCTCACTGCAAGGGACAGTTCTTTCTCAAGATTCCTATCAGAAAACCAGTTCTTCTTCTTCTTCTTCTTTTTTTTAATTGAATTCTTTTGGTTAGCATACATCATGCAAATGAGGTTCCCTGTGACCTTTTCTTTTCCTTCTTTTTTTCTTCCTTTCCTTCCTTCCTTCTTTCTCTCTTTTCCTTTCTTTCTTTCTTTCTTTCTTTCTTTCTTTCTCTCTCTCTTTCTCTCTTTCAAGACAGACCTCTCTATTATGTAGTGCTGGCTGTTCTGGAATTCAATATGTAGACTAGATTGGCCTCCAGCTCTTCGAGGTACTAGAGATCCCCCTGTGTCTGCCTCCCGAGTGCTAGGATCAATAGGGTGTGCTACCATGCTGGGCTCCTACATATATATTCTTCATATATATAAATTTGAAATCTAGCTGGGCGGTGGTGGCGCACGCCTGTAATCCCAGCACTCGGGAGGCAGAGGCAGGCGGATCTCTCTGAGTTCGAGGCCAGCCTGGTCTCCAAAGCCAGTTCCAGGAAAGGCGCAAAGCTACACAGAGAAACCCTGTCTCAAAAAAAAAAAAAAAAAATTGAAATCTAGAGTATATAAGAGAAATCACATTTGCCTTTCTTTTTCTTTTCTTTTCTTTCTTTTTTGGACAGGCCTTAACTCTACAGCCAGGCTGACTTGAAATTCACTACAAAGCCCAAGCTTTGAACTTGAACTCATGGCAATCTAACTCAGCTTTCCAAGTGCTACACTTACAGGACTGTTCCACACATCCAGTATTGTAACCGACTTTGCTTCACATTAGCTCAGTCTTTCAGTTGCCCAAAGAGATGCATTTAGTCATGTCATCACAGAATGACTCCCGTACATCCCTCTTTCCTCCCAGAAACTGAAGTGGCAGATCAAAGGCCACTGTTCACTAATTTCTCACTTGTGTTCTCATTAGCTCAATTAGTGACTTGGCAGGTGGAATCTAAGCTTTGTAGAAGTTGATCAGATGCAACAGGACAGACCGTGAGGGCTCTAGTGCAGATCCTTAGCTGATCGAAAATGGAGAAGAAAGAGGGTGGCCCCCGCCTGCGCCAAGCGATGTCATCAATCTTGAATATCTTCCAAAAGCCCATGTCTTAAAGGTTTGGTCCTCAGGATGGTGCCACTGGCAGATGGTGGAACCATTAGGAAAAAGGGCCTGTGGGAGGATTTTAGGTCACTGGGAGCATGCCTTTAGGGGAAACTCTGGGGGTCTAGAGAAGTGATTCAGCCAGTAAAAGTAGTAACCACACAAGCCTGACAAACTGGGTTTGTTCCCCAGGACCCAGGTAAAAAGTCAAATGTACAGAAATCCCAGCGTTCCTAGGGTGAGATGGGAGACAGAGACAGAAACTGGCCCGAGGCTTGGTGGCCCGCTGAGGGGAGGGCAGCCTGCAGCAGAAACGAAGGCGCTTGTCTAAACAAGGTAGAAGGTGAGAACTAACTTTGGAAAGCTGTTCTCTGACCTCCGCATTTGCGTTCCCTCCCTGACCACCACACAAAATAAATTCGTGACATTAAAAACAAAACTTTCAGGGAGGATTGTGAGACCCTGTCCCCCGTTCTTTTCTGCTGTTGCTTCCTAGCCACAAAGGTAAGCATTTTGTCCTGCTGCGGGCTTTCTACCACAATCGTCTGGCATGCCTGCCAGAGGCCCAAAGCAATGCGTCACGCCATTCCTGGGCTGGAACCTCCCAAATGAGGGGACCAAGACAGTCTTTCTCTGTTCGTAATTATCCAGGAGTTTCAGGATTGTGATGAATGGCTGATTAGCACATCTGCCCGCAGAGGCCCAGACGTGAGGAAACCAATGAAAGCCAGGTGGAGGGGGCTGGGAGACTCGACCCGCTGCTGCTACTGCTGTGTGAGCTGGGGAGGGTGAGGAAAGGCTGCCATTTGCAAAGCGAGGAAATCAACACTTAGCAAGAGGAGGTAAGAGCCGAGGTGCCACACACGGAATAAGTGGCTCACACTTCCAGGAATTAAAGGGCATCAAAGGAGGCTTTGAAACACGATGATTTCCATCAAGCTAATCCTCCTCTAAGTCCTGGATTTCTTTCTTTGGTCATTTGCCCTAAATTGCTCAAAGCAGGATACTGTACTTGCCAAGAGACAGCTGAAGCGAGTTAGGCCCTCAGCTTCCAGTTGCAGAGGTGAGGCCAGTGCCTCTGATAGCGTTTGAGGTTAGACCTTTACTTGCATTGCATAGATAGATAGATAGATAGATAGATAGATAGATAGATAGATAGATAGATAATATTCTCATATATATAATTACAGAGGGTAAATCTTTTGATAAGTATAAAGTTGGATTAATATCTCCTTCGGATTTTTATTTTATTTTAGACCAGAGTCTCACTCTGTGTCCCAGGCTACCCTCAAACTCACCGCAATCCTCACCATTGCCTGGCCTAGCGGGGTCACTTACAAAAAGGCTTGTGCCTGAGAGGCAGTGGTACTGCTGAAACCAACCACCCCCAGGGATTTTGTTTTTTCTTACCTCCTATTTTCTACAAATAGTTGGGCAGACGGGAACAGTGAATGGAGTCTTAGGGAAGGTGTTGGGAGGGTCTTGTACCTAGTTAGTTGCTGTGCCCTTCTGTTTCTTTCTTTACCAGTAATGTCTGGTTTCATTTTGAGACTACCTCATTAGTACAGGTTGGCCTCTGAGCACAGAAGACCGTGAACATGGTCTGCATGTTTTTTTTCTAGTATGCCTTCCTTGTGGGAACTCTGCTTTGAGGGGTCAAGTTGGGCTAGCCCAATCTCCTTTCTTTCTTTCTTTATTAAGAAATCTTCTACTCACTCCTCATGCTATCCACAGACCCCCCATCTCCTTTCTTACGTACCCCAACACCATCATTGCCACAGCAGCAAATGACCCCAACTCCTCACATCCTGCACTCCTGAGGTAGCAGAGCCCTGCCCAGGCTCAGAGGAACCACACAGGGTCAGCACAATGTTCTTTCCTGGCCTTTGAACTCACCACGTAGCTGAAGATGCCTTCAAACTTTGAATCCCCTTGTTTCTACTGCTGGAGTGCTGGGATCACAGTCGTGTGCCACCTAAGCAGTTAGGGGCATTTTTCTTTTTTGCTCTTACAGAGGACCTAAGGTTTGGAATTTGCAATCTTCCTGCCTCAGCCTCCTGAGTGCTGAGATTAAAAAAGCATGGGTCACCATACCTGGCTTGTTGTCCTTTCTAATGAACATTTGACATGCTTTAGATTGCTAATGCTCAAAATTCGTATCAGTGGTTCTTGATGGAGAGAGAAGATTGAAAGGAAGCAAAGCTAGATAAAAATGTGAGTTGTAGGGGCTAGTGCTATTTATTGCTGAGTGGTAGAGACACCCCCCAAACCCCCATTTTCTGAGGTAGTCTTGTGTCATGTAGCCCAGGCTCCAGCCTCAAACTCACTATGTAGCTGAGGATGGCCTTGAACTCCTGATCCCAAGTCCTGGGTTACAAGTGTGAACCACCATGCTTCCACATTACACTAAGACCCTCATCTTAACACGTAAAACAGTCTGGGGAGATGGCTCAGATGGGACCTGAGTTCGGATCCCAGCACTCACATTA